AAGAAAGTGCATTCATTCCTGGGACTAACCTTGCCAGTGACTCTCATGCAATAATAATAACAATAATAATTTTTTTTCCTCCCCCTTCTTTTTTTTTTTAAAAAAAGCTGCCAGAAACATAATAGCAGCCATTTCAATTTCTGCTGAGTTGAGCAGATTTACACCGTGTTTTTGAACACAGTTGCAGTTGGCAATAAGGGACCCTTAACAATAGACCTTGCGTGCATCTCTTATGCAGGTCAATAAAACAAGGCACGCTTTGGGATCCTCCAAGGCTGTAATCCGCAACTTTATGGACTCCAAAAAACAATCCATTTTTTGGAGCTGCGGCGGGAAGTTACCTAGAGGGGTTGGGAGTTGGATTCAGGAATTAATTTTTGCTACACTTTCTGGCCTCGCCTATGGGAACCAGACATTAAACATGTGCACAATGTGGAATGGTGGCCAGCCTAAAACCAAGCCAGATGTGTGTGTATATGTAAAATTATATATATATATATATATATATATATATATATATATATATATCCTTCTTCCAAATGTTTAAAGTAGGTTCAGAGGGCATCACTAGGTTATGTGGACTCCTGTTGGGGAGTTCTAGGGCCCCCCCAACTACAAATCCCAGAAGTCCATAGCATTGACCCATAGAAGTTAAAATGGTATCACACTGGGTTATTTCTGTGGTGCGGATATGCAGCCACAGTGGCCAAAATTTTACTGTTAGTCCCAGCAGTAGACTGAAATAGTGGGATTTTCCTATATGCAGATTGTCCATTCCTTCAGTGATTCCCAAATGTTGGTTCACCGGATTTTATTTTTTTGGACTTCAGCTCCCAGAATCCTGGACCATTGACCAAGATGGTTGAGGATTCTGGGTGCTGAAGTGCAAGACACCTGGAGGACCAGAGTTTGGGAATCAGGAAAATAGTTCCTAGCAGTGAAAAGAAAGCCAGATGATGATGATGATGATGATATCCTTTGCAACTTGCAACTTGGAAGATTTGGATTTAGACCCTAACTCGGTTTGGATTTGGTTCCCAAACTTTGGTCTTCCAGATATTTTTGGATTTCAGCTCCCATCGTTCACGAATGTCGGCCAAGCTGGTGTTTTGTAGTCCAAAACATCCAGAAGACCATAGTTCAGGAACCATAATTGATACTAACCCATAAGAACCCATATTTCTTAGCAATGAAAAGAAAGCCTAATAATAATAATAATAATAATAATGGAGAACTAATGTGACATAGTGGTTTGAACATTAGACACTGGGAGACCAGGGTTCGCATCCCAGCTTGGCCATGGAAACCCACTGGTTGACCTTGGGTAAGTCACACTCTCTCAGCCTCAGAGGATGGCAATGACAAAGCCGCTCGGATGAAACTTGCCGCGAAAACCCTACGACAGAGTCACCTTAGGGTCCCAATAAGTCGGAAATGACTTGAAGGCATGCAATAACAGTAGTCATAAGAGCAATAAGAAGAACAAATCCTTTGCCAGACTTGGCAGCTTGAAATCCCCTGTTGCTTCTGGTGTTTCTCTTGCATCTGACAGTCAAGGAACTGCGAGGCTTCCACTTCTCAGCTCTGTGAATTAAGGATACGGGAGAAAGCCGGGGTTATATTTGTGCATTTTCTGAATGGAACGAACTCGGAGAGACTTTTCTGTTCTGCACACTTGGAAGATATGTATACATACATTTTTTTTCCTTCCCCAAAAAAAAGAAATCCCAAACTCTTTGCTACCATCAGGGGGAGCTTTTGAGATCTTTCAAGAAATATATATATATATATATATAATCTTCCCACTAACAAAACAGCAAAAACTGTCCCAGCAAAGGAGCAACTGTTTAGAAGAGTCTTACCTGTGGCTGCAATTCCTTGGAAGGAAAAGGAAAGAGGTGCCAGAAGCTTATGGATCATGGGAGAGAAGTAAATAGAAAGACAGGCAGATTGTAGTTGCGAACTTTCGCCTGGGATTATAAATTCAGATGAAATCAAGAGTTTTCCTTGCTTTCCTCCTTCTTTTCTTGCTGGACAGGGGGAGGAAAAGCAGATCTAAACAGCAAAGCAAAGCAAAGCAAAGCACACACAAAAATACAAATGCACACACTTCTTTCTTGGCCACCTTGCGCCAGCTTCTGCAAGGATTTTTTTTTT